ATTTGTGGTTGATGAGTTATAGCCGTTCAAAGGTAACCAATCACACTTGCGTTTCTTTTGTGGGCCACTGTATATATCAATTAGATAAAAATTATATAGTCGTTTTTTTGAAGCAAATGAATTTATTAATACTTTAAAGCAATTTAAAAGAGAAATTAATGGATTTGAATATGAAATCAAAGTTGAAGTTCAAATGAATTACTTCAAATAATTTGGATGTATCTAGAACAGAAACGACAATATTGTAGATTTTTATTTGTAATTGTTTTTGATAATACATACAAAGTTAATCAATTTAATATGCCATTTGGAATTTTTACAGGAGTAAACAATTTTGGTTAAAGTATATGTTTTGCTGGAACTTTAATGTGTCAAGAAATAATTAATAGTTTTATATGAACATTTAAATCATTTCTTAAAATGGTTAATAATAATCCATCAAAAGTAATACTTACAGATGAAGATAAAGCAATTTCTCAAGCTATACAAAATGTTTTCGGTCAAAATAGTAAACATGTATTATGTATATGGCATCTTTGGAAAAATGTAATCAAAATTTATGTAGTATATTAGAAGCAAATTGGCATAATTTTACAAAAGCATTTTATGAATGTACAAAAGAATATGAAGTTAATAATTTTATAATCAAATGGCAATAACTTTAAATAGACTTTTCAGATTGTAAAGCACATTTAGAAAGAATGGATAAAGTAAAAGAAAAATGGGCACCTTGTTTTAATAGAGATATATTTTTAGCAGATATGACAAGTACACAGCGCGGAGAATCAATGAATAGTTTTATGAAAAATTATATGAATGCAACCAATTCACTTTTGGATTTTTTAAAAGCTTTTGAATCTGCACTAGAATAACATGATATTGATTTACAATTATTTAAATATCGGCAAAATCAATTTAATGTTATTTTAAAAACAATGAGTCCATTTGAATATCAAGCAGCAGAAATATTAACAAGTTATGTATTAAAGTTAACACAGGAGCAATTATTACAAGCATTTAATTATTCTTGTATAGAATTGTTTGATTTAAGGTATTTTAATTATAATGTATTTTTATTTTATAAAATTTATTTAATTTAATTTAATTTATTTTTAATTATTTAGAACTCAAAATATTCAATTATTTCATGTTCATCGATTTAATCATAATTACGAATCTGGAAGAAAAGTACAATATGATCAACAACAACAATTATTTTTGTGTTCATGCAAACATACAACTTTTTCTGGAATTATATATCAGCATATATTTCGTGTAGCAATACAAATGAATTTAAATAAATTGCCAAATTCACTATTTTATCAACGCTGGTAAAAAGATCCAAATAATCTTGTTTTAACACAACAATTTAATTTGTTTTGTGGTAATAATATAACAAACATTTGGGTTCCTCAGAAATAGAAATTTTTGAAGACTATAAATATTTGTTGACAAAAACTTTTTATGAAATAAAAAGTTTGATAAAAAAGTATCCAGAATTATCCAAAGAATTTTATTTTACAAATAATACTTTGTTGGAAAATAAATTAAAAATTATTCATCAAACTTGTCAAACAAAAGATAATACTTTACAAAGTATAATCAATAATCCTAAAAAAAATAATAATTTTAAAAAAAAAGGTATTTATAATTGATATTTTTTAGTTTATTGATATTATAATATTTTATTATTTTATTAATTTTAAAAAATTTTAATTAAGGAAAAAAAAATTCAACAAAAAATTTATCAAATAAAAAGCAAAAAAATTCAATTGCTAGTGATAGTGGTAGTGGTAATGGTTTATCAGTATAAGAAAAAAAATATTACAAATTATTGAAAGGATGATCATACATTTAATATACTGAGTCTAACTTTGGAGAAACCTGATGTTTTATACTTATTCATCACGTGTTCGATTTCTATTTGTCAGAAAATCACATCGATCATATTACTGCGTATTACATTACGAATTGTAAAAATGTTACTGCTGATTTATTATCAAGCAGTTTCGAAGCATTAAAGAAATATAATAAATATTTTACATAATAGTAAACAATACCAATTATTAATCATTAGATTTTTTTCGTGATATGTTAGAAAATAATTAATGATAAATTTAATAGTCAGTTTATTAATTAATTTTATATATTTTCTACAGTGTAAATTTAGTGAATGATAAAATAAAGCATTATATTGTGAACTTATTATTATAATTATAAAATAAAAATAAAGTATTATACATTATATGGGTTGATTGCTAGAAAAATCAGGTTCCGGAAATTTTTTAGCAAAATTGAAATTTTTATTGCATTTTAATTTTTGATGTTATTAGATTAAATGTATTAAGCTCTTAATTTTAGTCAAAAATTTCTCAAAACCTGATTTTCCTAGAAACCCTCCCATATAGAATTTGTTAAATGTTATTATTATAAAATGAACAATGAAAAATAATACATGCGAAAGTTTTTTATCACAAGTGTAAATCATTAGCAAAGTTTTTGCTATTTCGCGATGATACTCTGATATCTTTTGTCAATTTATCTAAAGTCTTTGTCTTTTCAGTGTCTCTTGCTGAATAATTAACAGCAAATGCATGCTGAATAAATTTACACAGACGAGACATCGAACCCTGAGCCTATAATTTATTCACATTAATGGCATTTAACCACTGACTTAATACATGAGCCATCACAGACTCATTTACAAAAGAAATAATTTCTTTTTTTCGTAATAGGCTCATTGTAGATTTATAATTAATAAATATTATTAAATAAAAAATAAATAAAAAGAAAACGAATATACTAACAAGGTTCTTTTTCTTTGAAATCCTCAACTAAAGTTTCGACACCATTGACTAATTTGTTACAAAAGTCACCAAAGTGTCTATTTACCGTTTGAAGCCATTCAATACCTTCTGCCAAATTGAGTTCACATTTAAGAACTTGTCATATCAATTCTTCAAAGGCACTCTTTAGCAGATTTCAAATGCATAAAAATAGACATTTCAATTCTTCTAAAAAGTTACGGTAAGCCTTTGCATTATTCCCTTGATTTGACATTATATTCAATGACCCAGTTGAGATAGAATGCATAAATTGTGATCCTTTTACAGCTGGAGTTTGCATTGACAAATGCATGTTATTTGCCAGCTGTAAAATATTAGGATTCATACATAACCACAAACAAAGCTAATAAATTGTCATCTCGTTAAATGAAGAAGGAATGTCCTCGTTAATTATGTTGGAATAATGAAGTGTATTGTCAAATGTATTATTGAGAATATTCATTATATTTGCTCTTGACTCTAAAGGTGACAGCCTTATAGGTTTTGAATATAATGCTCTATTTGAGGGATCATAATAATCAGGACTATTTGTTCTTCTCTTTGAAGGAGCAAAATAGTCATTGTCTTGACTATTGACACCTGATGGAGATCTTGAATTTAGTCTTGAATTCGATTTTAAAGGAACGAAATAGTCATTATCTTGACTATTGATACCTGATAGAGGTCTTGAATTCAATCTTGAAAGAACCTTTTCTTGACTATTAATACCCAATTGAGTTAAATTTAGTCTTGAAAGAACTCTTCTTAAAAATGTAAAGTCATTTTGACTATCAGTTTTTGATTCTAAAGCTGATTTTAGTTTAGAAGACAAGAATTCATTTTGGTTATTGGCTCTTGAATCTAAAGATACCGGTCTAGAAATTGTTTCTTCTAGAACTGACATTGATCTTCTATTTGTTCCTGTTTCTAGAGCTGACATTAGTCCAGTAGCTTCTTTTTCTAGAATTAGTATCAGTCTTAAAGGTGTAATAGCTTCATAAGCTTTATTACTATCTTCTTTTGAAATGTCATTATCATCCCTATTATCATCTTCATTTGGATTATTATTACCCTCGTTTAGAACATCATTGTCATCTTCATTTAGACTATCACTATCATTCAAAAGTTCATCTATTATCTGTGGTTATAGAATAATAACTTTTTTCCCTTTGTAACTCTTATAACTTTGTTCAGTTCCTTTAATAGTATTACTTTCGCGATTATCTGTAGCTTCAGTTTCTTGTATTTTCTTTTTGCGATCTTTCTTACTTGTATTTTTTGTATTTTTATTCTGTGAAACATCTGTATTAATCAAAAAATCGTTAAGGTCATCTAAAGGTACTATTTCTTGATTATTACGAGTTCTTTTAGTATTTGTACTAATTGTGTTTATTTTTTCAATCACACGTTTCTTTGATTTTCTAGAAGGATTCATGGTTATTTAATAAAAGCAAAGAGAAAAAAAAATACATTTTAAATAAATTGCTTATATTTTTTATTATATAAAACTGTAATACAGCATTAACCTTTTTTATTGATCAATTACTAAATTTGGTTAATAATGTATTCATATGAAAGTATATGATTTACTATCGAAAATAACTTTGTTTTTTTTTACATGATCATCATTACTAAATTTGGTTAGAGGTTTGATTTTTTTATTTGTATACTTTATACAGTATAA